TAGCACTGGGACCCCATAAGGGGGGTGGGGGTGGATCCCAGAACTTAGGCTCCAACCCAAGCCCGGACATCTACACTGCAATTTTATAGCCCTGCAGCCCAAACAAAGCCAGCTGACATGGGCCAGCTGCAGGTGTTTTATTGCAGTGTAGACATACCCTCAGACAGCCACTTTCCACCAAGACACACACTTAATATATACTTATTTTTATGAAGAGGAAAGTTTGTGCTCCTACTTTCCAATGTCAGAATGAGATTTATAATGGTTCTTCTATTTGGAGCCAGAAATCAGTGAAAGCATAAGGTACCATTTTAAAAGGAGAGCATCCAACTTCCACAAACAAGGTATGTTATGAATAAATGGAACACAATTTAGTTCAATCCTTCTCATCCCTGTAAAGTCAACAGGAGCAATAAGGTAGCAAACACATCTTCATCATCAAATAAGACACATATGGGTAAGTCTAACTATGTCAACAGGAGGGCTTCTTCCGTTGACACAGCTACCGCCTCTTGCAGAGGTGGATTAACTACGTCATCTTCCATTGGCATAGTAGCATCTTCGCTGAAGGGCTACAGCATCACAGCTGCACTGGGTGTTGTGGCAGCATTTTAGGTATAGAGCTGACCTCAGTCTCATCACTTTTTCTCAACCCTAACCTTGAGAAACTAGCCTTTCACCTACATCCACTACACCTTTGCCCTTCAGAAAAGCTGAGAAGGTGCCAACTCCGATTGTTACAAGGTGACTAGCTCCTTTAAGAGTGGGCAGGGGCCAGTGCCCCTGATTGATTAGTTGCCTCCCAAATGGGGTTAAGAGAAGCCACCTGAGCCATATAAAGGAGAAAGTCAGAAAAGTGGCAGATGACAGCTGCGTGAGGAGGAAAGGACAGATGCAGGGAGAAACAGAAGCAGCAAAGGAAAGTGGATACAGAGAGCCACTGGGAAGAACAAAAGGTAAAGAACATTACTGGTGAGGACTGGCCAACGCTGGTGAACCCCTGCTGAGTTACAAGAAAGCTTGTACAGAGGCCCCTAGGAACAAAGGGAAAAACCAGCCTGGTTAGAGGAAGCCAAGCATGAAACAATAGAATTGATGTAGGTCAGGAGAATGGCTCCCAAGAGTATGGGTAGGACCCAGTTAGGGAGGCCTGGGTGAGTGGAACACTGCTAGGGAGCTCTCTTGGGAGAGGCTTGACTTGGGGCTACCAGAGAAGTCACAGTTAGAAGCAAATCTGGGAGCTCTCAAGTGGATGGCCTGGAGATGAGAGCTCTGGAACATGGGAGATGTCCCAGAAACGGGTAAGGAAAAAAGCTCAGAACCTCCTGTACTTTGGGATTTTGGAAAGAATGATTTTATCATGAGGGTTCTGCAAATTATTGAATACGTACAAGAATAAACTATGACTACAGACAGGCCTCTAAACTGAACATTGAAAGAGACAGTATTTCTTTAATGGCTAGACCAAGAGGAAACAGACAGGCACACATATCCTAGTGCAGTTTGTGGCTTGGGGGTCACCTTGTCATAGTGATGAAAAAATAAATGGACAGACCAACTAATTTCTCATAAGCTAGACAGCCATTAACAGTGAAAAATAACTGCTTTGAGCCACCCAGTCTCACATGCTGTCGGTTATGTAATTTATATCATGTTTTTTAAAAATAAAATAGAATCTCCTCCCCACTTGAAAGTTTCTCTCTTAAGCTGATAGATATCTAATTTGTATTTTTGGTTTAAAAAGAAAACTTTAGGAGTGTAGAATGATGAGACACTTACCTTTGGAGACAAACTTGATTACATGCAAATATTCTATAGTAGTGTGTGTATATATAGCCTTAATCCTGCAAACACCTAATGTGTATAATTATATTCATGGGAGTTGTCCAACTTCAATCAATGGGATTACTCACTGGGATAAACATTTGGAAAATTGGGCCCTAAAGGTGCATTCACCCATCATCCACCATTATTATTACACCCTTAGGACTTGCTTGCTCTTACTTATTTACCAGGCCAAGTCAAGATGAAACCAATACTGATAGACAAAGTCTGAAATGTATACTCCCTAGAGAAGTGGTTCTCAACCTATTTACCATTGTGGGCTGCATCCACACAATATATATACTACCTGCATGGCCCTGAGGGTGTCACATGCATCACAGCTGTGTGCTGATTGGGCTGCAAGTGGTCCACAGGTTGAGAACCACTGCCCTAGAGGCATGTATGATGTCCATGGTCTTGCTTTAATCACGAGCCCTCTCCAAATTATGTCTTGTTCCAACATCATATGATCAAACAGGACATAACAACTAGTTACTCTGAAAGCCTAAACTTGTTGCAGGCAGTTAAGCTGCCTCTATTTTCTTTTTCTCCACTGTATGTTCACAGACCCCATTAACACTAACCACCGTAAATATATCCTGCTACAAGTAATTTTCTATCCACTGAATGTGATTTCAATTGTTCAGCCAAGATTTAAGTGGCTGTGTGGCGCTGGAAAGACAGATTTAGCAGCAAAGAAGAGATTCAATTCTAACAAGAGTGTGGCACACTATATATTTACCATTTGTTATGTACACAGTGATTGAATGATTGATAAATTATGCACTGTACCTACTGTAATTTTGAAATGGTCCATTTTATGAATTTTGATTATGAATTCCTCAATCCCCAATTAGTTTACAAAACAGGGCTGTACTGTACAAGTATTCACATTACACAAAAAATAGCTTTTAATATACCTTTGGTCCCATGGTGACAGCTACAGCATCTGCTAGAAGATCTACTCCCTGTAGCATAAGAGCTCTAGCCTCTGCTCCAAATTTAACATCTTTTGCATAGGTCCGTAGTAGGTGTGGGGCCAGTGCTCTGGACACTGGCCTCATCTGACGTAGCACTGTTGATAAACGGAGCATTTCTGAAGAAGGAAAAAAAGTAAGATACTACATTAGCTTTATTGTGTCAGTCCTTTGAACAACCATATTCCTGTGTTTTGTTCTCAAACTCCTCCAAAGATTTAGAGTAAACAACAAGTTGCTAGTAGTTTTGAGTTTTAAATGAAAGTGGTGACTGATCAAATATTTTAGTGTCCTAATTTTTGTAACAGTTGGATACTAGAGCAAAAGTCCAGGAGTCTGGACCCCTAGATTCTATTCCCAGCTCTTCCAGTGATTCACTATGTGATCCTGGGCAAGTCACAACTTCTGCACCTCAATTTCTTCTCCTCTAAAATGGGAATAAAGTTTATCGAGCTCACAAGAGCACTGTGAAGTTCACTTTTTGTATGTGAAGAGATTATAGCAACAGCAATGACGAGTGTTATGAGCATACTAGTATTATGTATGATAAAGCAGGAAAAATGGTATATTTTACTGAGACTACTACAGGCTAGAAGCAAGTTTGTCAGAGCTCAGCAGCTTTATCAGCATAAGCATCCTAAAAGTAAAGTTGCTATCTCAAAACCAGAATGTGACAGTGAAAAACGAACAGTTCAAGGCTGAGAGCATCTGGTGATAAACTAACAAAAAAATTGCAACAGTATCAACAGCCTGGCAGAGAAAGTCTGCAGAACCCAGGCCTATCCCCCTCCCACATGGTTCTCTCCATCAGGACATAACAAGGTCAAGAGACACTCGCCCCCTGCTGCTGGATGAGCCAACCTGCACAGGCAGGGGCGCCACCCTCGTGGAGGCCCCTTCTCCCAGAGATTATGGGAGAGGCTGTAACTGCAGCCCAGCAACGAACGGCATGAAACCAGCCTGCTAACAGGGCAGTGCCGCCACTGCCAAGGGGTAGCCAAGGGCTGGTAATGTTTCCAGTGCAGAAGAGAGGGGGACACAGAACGTAGGAAGCCGTGCACACGCACCCCGTATGTCTCTCACACACACCCTCCTAGGCTGAAGGCGAGGGGTTGTGAGGGTGTGTGTCTCTCACACACACACACACACACACTCAAGGGCAGGAGGCGGGAAAATTCACACACACACAAAGAAGAGCAGGAGAGGGAAATCGCACACACGAGCAGGCGTTTTCTCTCTCCCCCCTCCAGGGTAGGAGGCGGGGGCCCCCCTTTGTCACACTCCCGCTCCCCCAAGCAGGAGACCGGCGGAGGGTGTCTCACACGCCCCAGTCCCTGCGACACCGGGCACGTGCGGGAAGGGGCGTGCGCGCTCCGTGGCGGCGGGCAGGGCTCGGGGCAGCCGCGAGGAGCCGTCCCCTGCCTCCTCAGCGCCGATGGCAGCCCCGCGCCGGAAGAGGCTGCGCGGGCGGGCCGGTGCCCTGGACGCACATGGCTAGCGGGAGCAGAGGCCCCGGCGCCGCCACAAGAGCAGCAGCCCCGCGCCCGCGCCGGGCCCCGCCTCAGCGGGCACAAGCCCCGCGCCCGCGCCGGGCCGCTCACCTGTATAAGGCGGGCAAGGCAGCAGTCGGCTCCGCGGTCCGGGTTGGGAGCTGGACGAGCAGCGCAGCGCGGTGTGACTGAGTGACGGGAGCCTGGAGGGAACACAGCACTCACGGACTCTGCCCCTCCCCCGCTCAGGCAGCGACCCATGTGGGGTCCTGCACAGCCGGGCCCCGCAACCAGCATAACAGCATACGTTGGGCCCAGTTGGAGGCGGAGCGCGGCTTTCCGCCAATCGTTCAAGGGCCTAGCCGGGGAGTGGGCGGGGTCTGCGGGACTATGCGTCCTATGTGTGAGCTCCGGCTACTCGCGTATGAATCAAACAGGTTTCGGGGCCTCCCAATTCCAGAACCTTCTGGAACGCTCATGCTCGCCACAGGTCAAAGGTGGTATTACGTCACTTCAGGTTGTTGGTCCGATGCCGGGTGTAACGAGGACCTATGGACGCTGGTGTTCGGCTCTGCTGCATAGAGAATCCGGGTCTAGGGCGTAAAATGCCTGCGAGAGTAAAAAATAAACGTGGAAATAACATTTGTCTTCTAGGGACAACGGAAATAGCCCCGCCTTCCGGCGCGCGGCGCTAGAGGGGAGGTGGGGGCGCATGCGCAGTCAGAGTGCCCCCCCCCACGTGTATTAGCTGTGGGTGTGCGGCGCTCGGGACTCACTGGGCGGTGAGCGGGAGGGACTCGGGGCGCCATGGTGAGTGTCTCCGTTTCCTCGCGCGGTCTGGCCGTGGGCCCTTCGGCCGGACTTGCTGCGCTGGGGCAACTAGCACGGGGCGGGCGGGAGGGAAGCAGGTAGGGGCCGCGCTCGTGTTTCTCTCCAGCACGTCGTGTGTGAGGGAGCTGCTCCGGGCGCCCCCGCCATTGCCGCCCCTGGGGCTGTGTGGGGACAGGGCCCCCGGGTCTCCCGCCCTCTCCCCCCCCCCCCCATTGCAGCCGGCGGGGACGGGGGCCCCCGGGTCTCCCGCTCTCTCCTCCTCCCCCCCCCATTGCAGTCGGCCTATAGGCACAGACACCCCCAGCAGCCTCGCAGCGTGGCGCACACCGGGGGGGGGGGGGTGTTAGAGCACGTGGCCTAGCTCCGGGCAAGGCTGCACTTCATGCCTCGGAGCTAGACAGCGACCTGGCCCTCCAGTCTGTTCCTCGGCGGGCTAGCTGAGCCAGCCCTTCCGCCCCCCTTTGAGAAGTTAAGCCAGTGATCGCATATAAATTCCCCCTGAATAGGAGCGAAGACTGTAGAAAAAGACCATGTTCTTGCTGTGTCTAACTTCTGGCTATAATAAGTAGCTGTGAAATGAAAGTGTTTGCTTTTACCAGGCAGCATGCATTTGTAATGGAATTTGCTGTCAGGAGCCTCTGAAGTCAACATATATTTCAAGTTGACCTGTAACTTACCCAGTAACAATCTTTTTTTAATTATTTTTTCTCTTTTTGGCCTATCCATGAAAGTGACCTTGCATGGTCACAAGGTCATTTAGATACTGATACACCAATAGAAACAGGGAGAACAAGGATGTCCTTCTCTTCAAATGTTTTTGCTTTGTCACCTATCAGAAACAATGTTGTTGGTTTTCTTCTTTTTTTTTTTTTTTTTTAAGACTCAATACTGTGAGAGAGTGAGCTAATATTCTTAGGCATCTGTAATGTGTCTTTAGACAATGTTAAACCCTACAGAGTTTGAGGAAAAAATTCCTTTCATCTTTTTTCTGGCTGTGGCTTTCTTATATTGTATCAGAGGGGTAACCGTGTTAGTCTGTATCCACAAAAACTAGGAGGAGTCTGGTGGCACCTTAAAGACTAACAGATTTATTTGGGCATAAGCTTTCGTGGGTAAAAAGGATGGCCTAATTATCACTACCAAAGTTTTTTTTCTCCTGCTGATAATAGCCCACCGTAACTGATTACTCTCCTTATAGTTAGTATGGCAACACCCATTTTTCATGTCCTCTGCGTGTGTGTGTGTATATAGATATAGATAGATATATCTTCCTATTGTATTTTCCACTGCATGCATCCGATGAAGTGGGTTTTAGCCCAGAAAAGCTTATGCTCAAATAAATTTGTTAGTCTCTAAGGTGCCACAAGGACTTCTCGTTCTTTTTGCTGATACAGACTAACTACCATTCTGAAACCAGACTCCTTGTTGTTTCTTATATTGATCCTTCCCTCATGCTGTTTTTCCTGTCAGAGAAATCATTGATTTAAAAAAAAAAAAAAACACCAGCAGTTAGTATAAAAGGCCCTAGATGCTTAAATCTAAGTTATTTAAACTAAGTGTTTTCGACATGTTGATAGCATTGCCCATGTCTTAATAGAAGTGGGGGGATGATCCACAATTAGCTAATACATTTGTGAATAACAGCTCCCTGCTTCCAAGTAGCTCTGCTTCTGTTAGTAGCACTGGTCTATGAAGCTGCAGCCCCTGATGGAGGGACCTAGTCTTGTTCTTTCTCCTTGTTTCCAGCTGCTTCTACAAGTGTCCAGGGTGTGGTGTCCAGACATCTGTAGAAGCAACTGGAAAGGAGCAGGGAGTCAGCACCATGTGACTTGGCAGTTCTTCACAGACCACAGCTTGATTATTTTTTGAACTAAAATGTGTTCCCACTCCCTGTGCCTCCGTTTCTTGTGTTGCCTGCTTAGTGAAGTTGCAGGGATTGCAGACTTGTATGTGGCTTCTGCTCTGTGATCTCAAACACTACTGTTACCTGCTGACTCAGTAGTTACGGCTGACATTGACAGCCCTAGGCTGGTAAGATTTTTACCATTGTCTACTGCTAACTTGAGTTCAAAATAATTGCAATCCTCAGTACTGGTGTTGGGTTTAGTTTCTCCATCCTCAGCTGCTTTCCCCCTTCCTGCTTTCTGTTCATTCTCAAAGCGGCAATGTTTGTAATATACTTCAATGTATCATATGCTAAGCTTTACAAAAAATTATAAATCTTAACACTTTTGTAAAAATCACTGGACAGTATCTGCAAAACTTTTTGCAGATATTGGCATTCCTTCAAACATTTTTTTTTTTTTGTATACCTTATTTCAAACTTCAAAAGTGGGCAAAATAAGATGAGTGAATTGTCTTTTCTCCCAAATAACTTAGCACAAGATTGTACCTTAGTTATTGTATGGAATGCTAAACTTGAATATTTCAAAAGCCCTGACCAATGTGACATGCTTAATCTTTGCTTCTCTGTTTTGAAGCTTTCAACTAAAATAATTACAATAACTGTTCCACAGGTGTCTTATATCTTAGCTATAGGTGACTCTGATTTCAGTCTGTATATGAACTAATTTAATCAGAAGTAATTAATCTTAATATAACATATCTTATGCTTTTTTTAGATCTACAGAGGCTTAAACTACATAGGGTTTCCCTAAAGCTTTCCTCATCTGTTAATGTTTTAAGTTATCTTAGGCAGTTTATTTAAAATTCTGTGCATCTTAACTGTTAAACTTGTCTATTGCAACAATAATTTAGATCCGTTTTTGCTTTAATATTAATTTACTTTTGGGCCTAATTCAGAGAGATGCTGAGTACCTGCAATCTTCATTACACCAGTGGGAGTTGCAGGTGCTTAGACTCCAGTCCTTACTTTGCTATTTAAATAGTAAAATCGTGGTTTTTGAGCTTAGGATTGCAATTTTGTTGTAGTCTCAAATATGAATGGGTCCTTTTTATGTACAGTACAAAAATATCAATTCTATTTCAACAGGCAGGGAAAGCATTTAGGAAGTTTCTTCCCCTGTTTGACCGTGTTCTGGTTGAAAGATGTGCAGCTGAGACTGTAACCAAAGGAGGCATCATGCTTCCGGAAAAATCTCAAGGAAAAGTGCTACAAGCAACAGTAGTGGCAGTTGGATCAGGATCCAAAGGAAAGGTAAATATGTCTGGATTTTGCACCTTGCTAACTTTTTTGGATAAAAGGGATAGAAGCAGGATGTTATCTGAAAAAAAAAAATTAAAAAAAAATCAAAATAGCTAAAGGATGTCTATCATTACATTTATATTGCATCTGATCAAAACAGTAAGTGTAATATTTTGAAGAAGAAGAAGAAGAAGAAATTAAAAAAACAAGAAGTGTGGCCTGCGCACAAGAAGAGAAGCCAAGAACTCTTGAGTCCTAACCTGGCAGTGGTAGCCTCTGTGACCATGGGGAAATCAACTCAGTGTTCCTGTCTCTTTATCCCTGTCTGTAAAATGGGGAATAATACCTGTTTCACAAATGTTTTGAGAGAGATAGTTATTAATGGTTGTAAAGAGCTTTGAAGAAAATAAGTTCTTTATAGAACAGTGTTTCTGTGAGGATGGTTTCTCTTGCTCTGGCATGAATTGGTAAATGATGCAGTGCACCATGCTGGGAGGCTAAAGGTTTGTTCTAGGATCATTGAATAAATTAAATTGCTGAATAGCCTTACTGATTAAATTGCTGCAGACACATAACACGTTCCCAAGGTTTAGGAGCAGAACAGAAACCCAGAGCATGACTTATTAAATACTGTCATTGGTACTCTTGTGCTGTGCAAAACATCATCTGTTAATTAACCGAAGTTATTTTAAATATTCTGACTTCTGGTACTTCTGTGTTGGTTTTAGTAAGATCAAGTGTCAGTAGTCTCTTGGCCTATCCAAGGCCGTGATCAAGTGTCCTGATGTTTTTGGTCTTTTGGCCTCCAGATGAAAACCTTGTCTGTGCTTCTGGGACCTTGAAGTAAAAAATATTATATAACTGTAGATTAAAATTCTTCAACTGGAAGGAAGTTGGTCTGTATTTGGTGATATCTAGTAAGTAAGGCAATTAATCAGAAAATGTAGATGTATCCTTCAAGGCATAGGGAGAAACTATGTATACAAATCTTCTCATTTTTAAAGAGCCGTTATATGAGCATGTTCAGATCAGATTTACTAGCATAAAATAGGATATAGGTGTGCCTGCTGGGGCTCACGGCATGCACCTGCCGGGGCTGAATCTCTGAGATCCCCCCTCCCCACTGGGCAGAAGCCAGAGGCAATGCATGAGGAGTGCACGTGGGGTCATTCCCTCTCCCTCTCCACCTCCCATGATTTTTGCCTGCTTTTGCTGGCCCTACTCAGTCATAGTGCTGCATGGCCCCGTTCCTGCACAGCAGCTTCTGGAGCCTGCAAGCTGGGAGCTGTGGCTTTGGGGAGAGGCAGTGGAAAACAGCTGGGAGCTGCAGGGTGAGTTGCTGCATTTGCAGCTGCCTTTCCCCAGGGAGCTAAAGGAGCAGCCCCTCCCAGCAGTTTACTGCTGCCTTTCCATGCAGAGCTAACACCTGGGAGCTGCAGAGAGGGGCCACTGAGCATAATGGGGGGTGTGACTTAAGCTGTTGGGCGGGGAGTGAACCTTTAAATTCTGGCCCTGCCATGACCCCCAAAAGGCTAGACATCTCTGGCAAAGCCCCTAGCCTCACCACGCCACTGCAAGGCAGTCTGGTAGGTGGAGAATGGGCAGGCCTGGGGGGCTCTGCAAGCCACTCTTTGGGTAGGTCTATACTTACTTCCGGGTCCGGCGGTAAGCAATCGATCCCGGAAGTGCTCGCCGTCGACGCCGGTACTCCAGCTCGGCGAGAGGAGTACGCGGCGTTGACGGGGGAGCCTGCCTGCTGCGTCTGGACCCGCGGTAAGTTCGAACTAAGGTACTTCGACTTCAGCTACGTTATTCACGTAGCTGAAGTTGCGTATCTTAGTTCAAAGTGGGGGGTTAGTGTGGACCAGGCCAAAAACTGTAAAAGAGCCGCATGCGGCTCACAAGCTGGTTTGGCCACCCTGGCTCTATATGGTAACCGTGTAACACTCTACTTCTGGGGGGGATTTTTTTTGTCTGTATTGTTACAGACATACTTGCTAACAGATATTTTGAAATAAATTTTCATAAATAAATGTGTGTGCTTATGAACAAATATAGGATGTTTGTAGAAACTTACGAGGTTTTGCTTTTTTTCTCCCCTTTAGAGTGGAGAGATTCAGCCAGTTAGTGTCAAAGTTGGCGAGAAGATTCTGCTACCAGAATATGGCGGTACTAAAGTAGTACTGGAAGACAAGGTTTGTTTGCTGAACTTTATAATTGCAAACTAAATTGGTTTATTAATTTTCAGGATTATTTTAAAATCCTTCTAGCTAACAGGCCATGTGAAAAAATGAATAGTGTTGTTGACCAACTGAATGAGAGAGACAACTGACAACATTCAAATTGAGGAGCATCAATCTGGCCCTGTGGCTTTTGCACACTACACATCTATGATCCTCTGCTGTGAGAGAAACACTTCTGCCCCTGACATTTCCCCATAGCTGTAGAGAGAAAGTGGTTCTCCGTACCTGCCACCTTATCTTGGGAGGAAAAAAAATATATAGAGGGCTGACTGCAATGTCCTCCTTGCTGAGGAGGAGAGAAGATTCCAGAGCCTTCTACCACTTAATGTTACTATCCCCATTTATTTGTGAACATGGTCTCAAAGGATGCTCCTGCCAGGAAAATTTACCCCAGAGCCTTGCCCAAAGGAGTGAAAAATATCCCCTGGAATGAAAGAAACATAGTGACAGGCTCTCAGGGCAACAGATATTTATAAAAGTCCTTGGGTTAATAGTTCCTTTGATTGTGTAGTATTGGCCTCAGCCTTCAGCAATAAATCGATCTCAGGGACTACTGACCTTGGAGCCAGTTACTAGTTCTGTGAGATTTGTCTGCAACAGATATTAACTTATTTTTTTTCTCTCCATTTGCAGGAGTATTACTTATTTAGAGATGGTGACATTCTTGGAAAGTATGTGGACTAAATTTCTCAAATGGCTGCAGTATCATGAAGTTGTCCATTCCACTAAAGTGCTGAAATCTTTTTCCATCATGTAAATAATTTCCTGTTCTTTATTTTATAATAAACAGATAACCAGTCTCTCTGAAATAACTCCTACAGTCCCATTGTAGTGATCCAAACACTTCAAAATAAAAGAATGTGTACAGTCAGAGAAACACATGTTCATTCTTATTTGGAGTTCCATTGAACAGTTCAAAGTGCTGGTGTTAATTTGAATTTTTGTAACTCTCTTCCAGATTTCAGAAAATTCAATTTCGATATCCTCTCAACTGTCCTGAATTTTTTTTATTTTAAAGGAATTTTAGGGATTTTTTTCCTGCCTTATAGATGTTTGCGTGGTTTCATTATTAGTCTGCTTCTCTTACTGTTCCCCAGAAACTGGCTACATCCAAATATGACTTCCATGCACACCTGCAGTACAATTGTACTGATAACACTGTTTCCAAAAAAATACACGAAGAGATGAAGGACTAAACCCTCTCCACAGAGGAGTGCTGCAAAGATGAAAAGTAGTATTTTATTGTTATTGCTGAACTAGGTGAACCTTCTTTTCTTGTTCAACCTGCCTGTGGCAACATCTTTTTTGGTTTAATATGAACCAGACATCTTGTATAGTAACATTATCTTTTATATTAAATAACAATTATATACATTTACACAGACATTGTATAGGCAGAGAAGTTGAATATTCATGTTAGTTATACAGTATAGTTATACAGTAGAATCTTATTAATATGCTGTGTATCTACTCAGCAAAATTATGTTCTGTAATGAAGCTTAATGTCAATTAGATGCCAATGTTTTTACAAAATATACTTCAGTGCCTTTCTAGGGCGTCACTGCTAGCTCTGAGTCCTGTCACGTTCTGTAAAGACATGAGATAATTCTGCTCCAGTGGTTATCAACTGGGGATACACAGAGGTCTTCCAAGGGGGTACCTCAACTCATCTAGATATCTGCCTAGTTTTACAGCAGGCTACATAAAAAAGCACTAGCAAAGTCAGTACAAACTAAAATTTCATATAGACAATGACTTGTTTATACTGCTCTATATACGATACACTGAAATGTAAATACAATATTTATATTACAATTGATTTATAATTATATGGTAAAAATGAGAAAGTAATCAATTTTTCAGTAATAGTGTGCTGTGACACGTTTGAATTTTCATCTAATTTTGGAAACAAGTAGTTTTTCAATTAGGTGAAACTTGGGGTATGTAAGACCAATCAGACTCCTGAAATAGGTACCCTAGTCTGGAAAGGTTGAGACACTGCTGTACTCCCCAACCTTGGCCTTTTCTGTGATGCACCCTCTCGGCAGTCAGTGAGGCTGAAGTTTGCTACTCCCTTCTTCCACCAGCAGCAAAGTAGTTTTAATTCGTCCGAAATGTGTACTGTGATTTAGGCCAGGGGTTCTCAACCAGTGGTCTGTGATCCCAATGGCCCTGAATCTCTCTGGCCCTGCTCCCCTTGGGCCAGGAGCCCATGGGTGGAGTTGTGGGGGTACAGGAGTGTTGCCCCCAAGGCTGCAGTGTCAGAGCTGGGCAGTCCTGGAGGTAGCTCCCAACCCCCCACCTCCTCCCTGCATCCGAGGCCCCACCACCTGTCCAGGTAGGAGGTGGGAAGCAGAAGCCAAGCAATGTGGGGCAGCTGCTACTTTGACTGGTGCCATGGAGTAGACAGCTGTAGCATTCCTGTTTCCTCCTGGTGCCCAGCGTTGCAGCTGCTCCTTAGCTCCCAGCCCCCTGTGAATGCTCATGGAGCTTATAAGAGCCACCCGGGTGGGGGATCTAGCTCCATGTCTGGCAGAGCCCTTGGGGAGCAGCAACTGCAGGGGAGTTCTCCCGGCCCCCTACATTAGAGTTAAACAAGACCCATAACAAATTTAGACCTTGTATGTGTTGGTTTATGAACCTGATGGTTGGATGGGGGAACCAAGTTAGGCTTCAGCTTGTGTGTATTTGGTTTGTTTTTTGGTAATGGCAAAATAGGCTGGGTTTAAAGGCTTTTCCCATCATGTAGTATATGGACTACAAAGAAAA